AGTTTGAAAATGTAAAGCACAAAATAAGACAAACATTGCAAGTTAAAACAAAAAAGAAAGAAAATTTTCCATGGTAAATGTTTAAGAGAGGCAGACATTAAGAACATCTGCCCTTGGTGGCCAGACCAGAGGCCTCTCTCCCTTTAGCCTGTGCAGCCACAGGGTTGCTTCTCACCACTCAGGGGCTCTGTCCTTTTGAAGGTTTTAATCTGTGCTGAATTTTTTTATGTTTTTTTTTTTTCATTTCACTTGTTTCTTTTTATTGTATTTTGGGGGGGATGTTTACTTTTTTTATTTTTTATTTTTTGTGACCTCAGCTGTGACTTAGAAAGGGTATTCATTTTCTTATTTCCCTCCCTCCCTCCTTCCCTTTCCTTCCCTTCTTTCCTTTGTTCCTTCCTTCCTTTTTTCTTTTCTTGCTCTTTCCTGCCTTCCTTTCTTTTCCTTCCTTTTTCTCTCCCTCCCTTCCTTTCTTTGTTCTGGTCTTTCTTCCTTTTTCTCTTTCTTTCTCTCTCTCTTTCTTTTTTCTTCCTTCTTTTTTTCTCTCTTTCTGTCTTTCTGTCAGCCACCCAAGTAGCTTGGATTACAGGTACCCGAAACCACACCTGGCTAGTTTTTCTGTTTTTAGTAGAGATGGGGTTTCGCCATGCTGGCCAGCTGTTCTTGAATTCCTGACCTTAGGTGATCCACCAGCTTGACCTTCCAAAAGTGCTGGGATTACAGACATGAGCCACCATGCCCAGCCAGGTCTCACCTCTTAATGCCACCACAATGGCAAATTGCAACATGAATTTTGGAGAAGGCATTCAAACCACAGCACGTACCTTGCTTTCTTCTTCCTGAATCTCTTGGGATGTCTTCCCAAAGTGTTTCATTTCTTCATGGAGGGGGTAAAAGCAAACAGTTGTGCTTTATCATCAAACATCAGAATTCAGAATGATTTCTTTCCTGTCAAGAGGGTTACTGCTTACTGAAACCTGAACTGATTTCACAGAACTCAGACTAACTCAAAACTAACCAAGGATTTAATTTGTTCAACTTTTCCTTTATCCTCCCTTCCATCAATGCTTGACACACCCACTCTTGAAACAGTCTTTCCTAACCCACTTGAGAGGCCCAACTGAGCATAGGAGGAGCCAGAGAGTGTTTATATTTGACCCCAACACCTCCAAAGGTGCAATCTCGGCTCACTGCAACCTCCACCTCCCCAGGTGAAGCGATTCTCCTGTCTCAGTCTCCTGAGTAGCTGGGATTACAGGTGTGTGCCACGACACCCAGCCAATTTTTTGTATTTTTAATAGAGACATGGTTTCACCATGTTGGTCACGCTGGTCTCGAACTCCTGATATTGTGATCAACCTGCATTGGCCTCCAAAAGTGTTGGGATTACAGGCATGAGCCATTTCACCTGGCCCTCTATTAATCTAAACATTTTCAATAAATAAAAGAAAACATTTGCTAGGTATATAGTAGCTAACACAAAGGTATCTGAGCATAAAATTAAGTAACAGCAGATTGAATCCAGAAATATATTTAAAAACAAAAAATGAAGCAGCAAAGTGGCCAGATCCCCCTGGTGGGGGTACCCTCCTCATCAACAAGATCCAGGAGGAGTACCCAGACAGGACCACGAACATATTCACTGTGGTGCCCTCACCCAAGGTGTCAGACATGGTGGTGGGGCCCTATAATGCCACCCTCTCCATCCACCAGCTCATAGAAAATGCAGACGAGACCTGCTGCATCGATAATGAAGCTCTCTGTGACATCTGCTTCAGAACCCTAAAGCTGCTATGCCCACCACGGTGACCTGAACCATCCGGTGTCTGCCACTGTGAGCGGGGTCACTACCTACCTGTATTTCCCAGGCCAGCTCAATTCTGACCTGCAGAAGCTGGCCGTGAATATGGTCCCGTTACCACACTGGCACATTTTCATGCCCAGCTTTGCCCCGCTGACCAGCCAGGTAAACTAGCAGTCCCAGCCCCTGAGAGTGCTTGAGTTCACCCAGAAGTTGGATGCCAAAAACATGATGAGAGCCTGCGACCCCCTCCATGGCCACTACCTGATGGTGGACACCGTGTTCAGAGGCTGCATGTCCATGAAGGACGTGGATGCAAATGCTTAATGTCCAAAACTAGAACAGCAGCTACTTTGTTGAGTGGATCCCCAACAATGAGAAAATGGCTGTCTGTGACTTCCCACCCCAAGGGCTAAAAATGTCTTCCACCTTCATTGGCAACAGCAGGACCATCCAGGAGCTGTGCTAGTGCATCTTGCAGCAGTTCACAGCCATGTTTCTGCACAAGACCTTCCTGCACTGCTACATGGATAAGGGGCCTGTACGAGATGAAGTTCACCAAGGCCAAGAGCAACATGAATGACCTGGTGTTCAAATACCAACAATACTAGGACGCCACGAATGAGAAGGAGGGCGAGTTCGAGGAGGAGGTGGCCTAGACCCTCCAGTCACTGGGGAAAGCAGGGAAGCAGTGTGAACTCTTTATTCACTCCCAGTCTGCCTTCTGGCCTGTGCCTGTGTGTGTACACTTGCTGTTTTCCCTGTTCACATCCCATGCTATACAGACAACATTAAAGCATTTTCATAGTAAAAACAAATTTCTTTAGGTTTATTTCCATGTGATCTTTTTGGCCCAATATACATTTTGTCTTCTATAAAATACCTGTACACCTACTGAATACTTCTGTGTGTGGCTGCATATGTCATGAATAATTATCTAGAGATCACAGATATAGCTCTCAGAGTTTTGACTGTGTATGCATTCCTATAATCTCATCTTGTAAGAATCTGAGGGTATCCCTTATCTTTTGAAATGGTGATTGGAAATCCTGGGTTCTGAGCTGTTACACCCTAAGCTTGGTAAACATCAATGAACATCTTATGCTGATCTTCTGAGTTGGAATATTTTCATGTAACCAACGGGAGGGAGGAGGTTCTCCCTTTTAGCAGCTATTTTGCAAGATGCTTTCCTTATGGGCTTGGTTTCCTTGTCCTCACCATGACCTCATAACCACATCAGTCCCAGCTCATTTCTGAGAAAGCTGGGCCTCTGAGCCCCACTGAGAATTTGTGTCTGGGCTCAGGCAGCAGGGACACAGCAAAGGGGGAGGATTTGCAGGCCATGGTGGGGAGATGCAAAGCTGGGAGTTGCAGGGAAGAGAGAGGTTGCTGGGAATAGGGTGATGCCAGAACAGCTCAGGATTGACCTTGAGTTTCCCACCAGAGTTGACCTGATTCTGAAGACCAAGGCCACAGCTCCAATAAACCAGATCCATCCTCACTGTTAGTCTCCTGGGGCCATAGAGACAGTGTCCCCTGACAGAACAAAGTTAAATTTTCCAGAGCTCTAGGCATTCATTCACCCTGATCCAGAACATTCACAGGTCTAGGGAAAGACTCATCACTCCTACAGATAATGGACTGAGGTCATAATTCCCTGTGCACACCCGGCCCTCTGAGCTCTTCCACGGTGGCTCTGTGGGACCTCATGCAGCCTCCATGCTCCTGCTCACATTGCTTGCCCAGCCAGGAGCCTTGCAGCTCAACCTGAGTTTTACACAAACCCCCAAGTGACACCAACCCACTCCATCCTTCTCTTCCACAACCTCCTATTCCCAGGAGATTCGGTCTCTTTCTTTTGCACCGAGTCCCTTCACTTGTGCTTCCACTGTGGGTGGTCAAAAACTCTGTGCCCTTTGGTGTGGATCTCTCTGCTGGAGGACACAGGACACCCTGCAAGTCAGGGATGGGTGTCATCCTTCACAGAGATGGCCAAACAGCCAAGGTTCTACACACACCTGCAAAACAGCTATTTCAGCTTCTATACATAATCTCTGGCTGGGCTAGTGGCTCACACCTGTAATCGCAGCACTTTGGAAGGCCCAAGTTGGCAGATGACATGAGTCTGGGAGTTTTAGACCAGCCTGGGCAACATGGTGAAACATGGTCTCTACAAAAAGTTAAAAAGAGGGGTGGGGTGGGAGGCAGGCATGGTGGCTCACACTTTCACACTTGTAATTCCAGAACTTTAGGAGGCTGGGGTGGGTGGATCATCTGAGGTCAGTTCAAGTCCAGCCTGGCCAATGTAGTGAAACCCTGTCTCTACTAAAAATACCAAAATTAGCCAGGTGTGGTATTATACACCTGCAGTCTCAGCTACTCAGGAAGCTGAGGCAGAAGAATCACTTGAACCCAAGAGGAAGAGGTTGCAGCAAGCTAAGATCTGAGATCACACCACTGCACTCAAGCCTGGGTGACAAAGCGAGACTCCATCTCAAAACAAAAAAGAAAGGCTGGGCAGTGTGGCTCATGTGTGTAATCCCAGCGCTTTCAGAGGCCAAGGCGGGCAGATCATGAGATCAATAGATCAAGATTGTCCTGGACAACATGACGAAACTGTGTCTCTACTAAAAACACAAAAAATTAGTTGGGCATGGTGACATGGGCCGGTAGTCCCAGCTACTTGGGAGGCTGAAGCAGTAGAATCACTTGAACCTAAGAGTCAGAGGTTGCAGTCAGCCGAGATGACAACACTGCATTACAGCCTGGCAACAGAGTGAGACTTCGTCTCAAAAAACATAAAGATAAAAATAAAAAATAGTCGAATGTGGTGATGCGTGACTTAGTCCCAGCCACTCCTCTGGAAGCTAAGATGGGAGGATCATCTGAAGCCTGGAGATGGAGGTTGCACTGAGCCAGGATTGCACCACTGCACTCCAGCCTGGGCAATGCAGTGAGGCTCTGTCCCCACAAAAAATAAAAAATCTGTCTTTATCTACAAGAGATATCTGCTGCCAAACTCATGATGAGGAAATAATGCAACCGACTGAGTACTCTCAGAAACTTGAGAAAAGTGACCAGGATCTCAGCCAGTGTTACCCTTGTACTGCAAAACCCTGCAGTACCATCTGTGACATTTCTTTCTATTCACTCAAAAAAAGAAGAGATGGTGTTTTTTTTTACAAATTACTTTATACCATTCAAATCAACACATCAAGCAGTGCATTTAGAGGTGTTGGTGGAGGTGTCAGAGACCACGTGTCTAGAGGAGAGGGTGAAGTCTGAGGCCAAGTCAGGTGAAGGCTGAGTGTCAGCTGAGACAGCAGGTCAGCCAAGTGAAGGAGGTGGCTGAAGTACTAGAGAAGACCTAGAAGAAGGAGGTGGCTGAGGGCTGAGAGGTCATGAGGAGATTCTTTAGGTACAAGAGGAGACTCATTTAAAGGTGATAGCTAAGGGAGGCCACCAAGGTAAAGAAGGTGGCCGAGATGCCAGTGGCCACTAAGTGGACAAGTAGGCTGAGAACCCAGATGTCACACTGCTAAAGGAAGAAGGTAACGTCCAAAAGGAAATACAGCTGGATGAGGTGGATGGGGTCCCCCAGGAAAGACAGGGCAATGAGGTGGATGGGGTCCCCAAGGAAAGGCAGATGGATGAGGCAGATGGGGTCCCCCAGGACAAACAGAAGGATGAGGTGGATGGGGACCCCAGGAAAGACATATGGATAAGGTGGATGGGGTCCCCCAGGACACAGAGGGCAATGAGGTAAATGGGGTCCCCCAGGAAAGACATATGGGTGAGGTGGATGGGGTCCCCTAGGACACAAGGGCAATGAGGTGGATGGGGTCTCCCAGGACACACAGGGAGATTAGGTGGATGGGGTCTCCCAGGACACACAGGGAGATTAGGTGGATGGGGTCTCCCAGGACACACAGAGGAATGAGGTGGATGGGATCCTCCAGGACACACAGAGGGATGAGGTGGATGGGATCCCCCAGGACACACAGGGTGATAAGGTAGATGGGGTCGCCCTGCACACACAGGGCGATGAGGTGGATGGGGTCCCCCAGGACACACAGGGCAATGAGGTGGATGGGGTCCCCAGGACAGATAGGATCAGGTGGCTGAGGTTCAGCAGGATAGACAGGTGGACGAGGTGGATAAAGTCCCATAGGAGATGCAGCTGGAGGAGATGGTGGATATCCCACAAAACAAATAGCTGGAAGATATGAAGGCAGTCCCAGAAGACACTCAGTTGCTGGAAGTGTCTGTGGTTTCAGAAGATCACAAACTGGAGAGATGATGGAGGTACCAGAGAGCACTTGACTGGAGGAGGTGACTGTGGTCTCAGAGAATCTTCAGCTTGAGACGGTGGTAGAGGTAACAGTACACTCGGGTGGAGGTGTGTGTGGGCTCAGAGAATCTTCAGCTGGAGATGGTGGTAGAGGTAACAGATTACACTCAGGTGGAGGTGTGTGTGGTCCCAGAAAATCCTCAACTTGAGACGGTGGTAGAGGTAACAGATTACACTCGGGTGGAGGTGTGTGCAGTCCCAGAAAATCCTCAACTTGAGATGGTGGTAGAGGTAACAGATTACACTCGGGTGGAGGTGTGTGTGGTCCCAGAAAATCTTCAGCTTGAGATGGTGGTAGAGGTAATAGGTTACACTCGGGGGGAGGTGTGTGTGGGCTCAGAAAATCTTCAGCTTGAGATGGTGGTAGAGGTAATAGATTACACTCAGGTGGCAGTGTGTGTGGTCTCCAAGTCTTCAGCTTGAGATGGTGGTAGATGTAACAGAGTACACTAGGGTGGTGGTGTGTGTGGTCTCAGAAAATCTTCAGCTTGAGATGGTGGTAGAGTTATCAGAGAACACTCAAGTGGAGGTGTGTGAGGTCTTAGAACATCTTCAGCTGGCAACAGTGGTAGAGATACCAGACACTCAGAATGAGGTGAGTTGGGTCTTAGAAAATCTTCAGCTGAAGACGGAGGTAGAGGTAGAGGTACTACTCAGGTAGAGGTGTCTGTGGTCTCCAAAGATTATCATGTGGAGCAGGTGGTAGAGGTGCTAGAAGACACTCATGTGTAGGTGTCTGTGGTCTCAAAAACTCATCATCTGTAGCTGGCAGTAGAGGGGTCAGAAGACACTCGGGTGGAGTTGTATATGGACTCAGAAAATCATTGGCTAAGGGCAGTAGAGGTAACAGAAGACACTCCTCTGTAGGTGTCCGTGGTCTTGAAAACTCATCATCTGTAGCTGGCAGTAGAGGTGTCAGAAGACACTCGGGTGGAGTTGTGTATGGATTCAGAAAATCATTGGCTAAGGGCAGTAGAGGTAACAGAAGACATTCCTCTGTAGGTGTCTGTGGTCTCAAAAACTCCATTTGTAGATGGCGGTAGAGGTGTCAGAAGACACTCAGGTGGAGTTGTGTATGGATTCAGAAAATCATTGGCTAAGGGCAGTAGAGGTTAACAGAAGACACTCCTCTGTAGGTGTCTGTGGTCTCGAAAACTCATCATGTGTAGATGGCGGTAGAGGGGTCAGAAGACACTCGGGTGGAGTTGTGTATGGACTCAGAAAATCATTGGCTAAGGGCAGTAGAGGTAACAGAAGACACTCCTCTGTAGGTGTCTGTGGTCTCGAAAACTCATCATGTGTAGATGGCGGTAGAGGGGTCAGAAGACACTCGGGTGGAGTTGTGTATGGACTCAGAAAATCATTGGCTAAGGGCAGTAGAGGTAACAGAAGACACTCCTCTGTAGGTGTCTGTGGTCTCGAAAACTCATCATGTGTAGATGGCGGTAGAGGGGTCAGAAGACACTCGGGTGGAGTTGTGTATGGACTCAGAAAATCATTGGCTAAGGGCAGTAGAGGTAACAGAAGACACTCCTCTGTAGGTGTCTGTGGTCTCGAAAACTCATCATGTGTAGATGGCGGTAGAGGGGTCAGAAGACACTCGGGTGGAGTTGTGTATGGACTCAGAAAATCATTGGCTGAGGGTGGTAGAGGTAACAGAAGATGCTCCTGTGTAGTTATCTGTGGACCCCAAAAATAATCCACTGATGGAAATGGTTGAGCTCCCAGGTGACATCCAGATGGAGGAGGTGGCTGGCAAGCCATCAGTGGCCTTGAAGGTTCAGCCATGAGATAGGGCGAGCAGGGCAATGCTGAGTAATGATGACGCTGTGCTGCAGCCATGTTAACCTGCAGGCAAAAGGAGGAAGTGTTTTGAAATGTATTAATTTGATGGACAGAACCACCATCAACAACACAGGCTGAACCTTATGTTGCTGCTGATTGTTTTTTGCATCTTTCCATCCTCCAGGTTTCAAAATAGCACATCAGTTTGAAGTCACCCTTCCACTAAGTACCACTGACAGCTGGGTAGTGAAGAAAAGTCACTGGGACAAACTGTTTTCTCCACATGCCACTGTGTCTGGCTGCAAATGTAGGCAGGCTGGGGACCTGCCCCAGGGGAGACAAAGTCATAGTGCAGTAAGGAAGAAGTACGTTTCCAACACGGGAGTGTCTCTATCTTCATTCCTCCCTCACTGCCATCACCAGACCATGCTCCTTGCATCAGATAAACAGCGAGTAAGAGAGGCATGAAAAGCCCATTGTCCACACGTGTTGCAGCTTCTTTTTGGAGAATGTTCTCCAGGGCTTTTTCATTCTGTCTCTGATTCTCAGAACTTTGCAAGTCAGTGTGACCACCTGCTCCAAATCTAAAAAACCAGAGGCTCCCCGAGGAAGGAGAGCAGGTGCCCAGGGTCACACGGCTTGCAGGAAGCACAGTGGGAGTTGATTCCAGCTCTGCCTGCAGGACCCTCTCATTTCCCCTCCGCTTCCCTTCTTGACAAAGGGTCTTGTTCACTCTGGGGGTGCCCCCCATGAGCACAAATGGCTCTGGGGAACTATGGATTCCTAAAGACATTCAGGGGAACTGGGAGGAGGTTTTCTGACAGAACAATCAGACATGCAGAAGTCAGTCAGGCACAGCTAGAATATCTCCTTGAATTCCCAGGCTATACAAATTTTAAGTGCATTATGACATAAATAATACTTTTGTACATGGAAAAATGATGTATGAATTCTGAAAAAAGCAAGTTTTAGAAATGTGTTTAATTTCAAGTGTACAGTTCCCATCATGTGTAATCATAAGCCTCAGCAGCTGTTTTAAGTACAGAGGCCACCCGAGAACCAGCATAGCTGAGCATCATTTAAGGCCTTCGTTGGGAATTGTCGCTGTGGGTAATAGGTTATTATTACAAGTACAGAAACTCTGACACTTAGAATATTAGATCAGAGCACCACTGAAGGGGGGCAAAGGCGGGTTTTTGCACAACACAGTTAACAGGAATGGGACTGTGATGAAATATGGAATTGATTTTTGTTGAAGAGCATTCAGAATTGCACAAAGCACCTATTAATGTTGGATTAATGAGTTTTCACTTTCATCACTTCTGGAAATACAGCAGATATTTCAAATGTTAATCACCTACCTTATAGAGGAAAACAAACAAAATCACAGCAAAATAAAACCCCACATATTTCTGAAATAGACCCCACAACACCTTGAGTAAAAGAGATCAGTCAGAGTTCACTGGGCCATGAGACCTATAGAGGTGGAGGTCGGTGGCATTCCTCATGTTATTTCTGGAAACAGAACAGTAAAATCCCTTTGGCCCTCAGTCCCTAAGCATGTATGGCTTCTGGAGGTGCCACCTAAGATGACTTGTTGGGAATGGAGAAGCCAGAAAGCTTATGGGGAAGATGTTGCTTCTGAAAAGTCCAGACAGAAAACGTATCACAGAGCGCACAGAGCAGAGGCCAGGCCAGGAGAGGGTGATGGAGGAAAAGACTACAGTGTCCTGACACAGGCAGAGTGAAAATGACCCCAGCATTTACCTTTGTCATCTCCGTGTTTTCAGTTGGGATGCAGCTGCTGTTCCTCACGGGAACCGAATGAGGTCCTGAATCTGCTAAGGGCCAGAGAAGGGAATGGGGCTAAATCTGGCTTGCATGTTCTGTGCCGAATAAGAAACCCTCCACACCCTCTGCTGTCATCTCACTCTCTCTGCCACACTCACGTCCCTTACCAGAGGCACAGGGTTTATTGGCCAGATGCCTCAGAGGACCCTGGAGCCCTCTGGGCCTCAGCCCTGAGGAAGACACTGCAGATCCCTGGTCCAGGGGTTTTCTTAACCCTCAACAGGCTGTGGACAGGTCAGGCTCTAACCAGCTGAAATGAGCTTGAAATCAGGGCTTCCCAGTACACATCAAAGGAAATCACCCATCATGTGATCACAGACTCCAAATTAAAATAGAAACAGCCACAGATGGGAAGAACATCTATAGGTACAGGACAGAAGCAGCACTGCTCCTTTTCTTCAAGCTATAGGGGCATTTAAAATTCTGTGGATTCGTAGTGAATCTATCCTCCATATCTCACCAGGCATTGTCAATATTTATGAACAGAAATGAACATAAAGAGACTAACACTCATGAGAAAAGGTCAGAGTTACAGAAATTAAATGGAGGCTGGGTGCCGTGGCTCACACTCGTAATCCCAGCCCTTTGGAAGGCCAAGGCGGGCAGAGTTAGAGGCAAGCCTGGCCAACATGGTGAAACTCTGTCTCTACTAAAAATACTAAATGAAAAAATTTGCCAGGCATGGTGGCAGGCACATGTAGTCCCAGCTACTTGGGAGGCTGAGGCAGGAGAATTGCTTAAACCTAGAAGGCGGTGGTTGCAGTGAGCAAAAATCGCACCACTGTACTCCAGCCTGGGTGACAGAGCAAGGTTTTCAAGAAGGAAGGATGGAAGAAAGGAAGGATGGAAGAAAGGAAGGAAGAAGGGAGGGAGGGAGGGAAGGAAGGAAGGGAGGGAGGGAGGGAGGGAGGGAAGAAGGAAGGAAGGAAGGAAGGAAGGAAGGAAGGAAGGAAGGAAGGAAGGAAGGAAATCAACTGAAAAGTTTTAGGTTAACCCTTCAAATGTTAGAGAAGTAAGATTACAAAGATATTTAGCTTACTAAAGAAGTTATATAATTCACAATAAACCATTTAAACAAGCAAAAATAATGAAGGAAGCTCCAAAAAGTGCAAATAAATGATTCTTTTCTTAAAGCAGACTTCATGATACTGCCTTATTGATCCATGAAGACACTGCCCAAAAATCTCTGCTCTCATCAGCACTTATAGCTCCCATTCTAAAATGCTTTTGTTGTGACTTTTCTCAAATGAAAAAAAAATAAAGCTTTCACACTGACTCAAGGTGGGAAGAGGAGCTGGCCCATTTGCCTTGCAGGCTTATCCTCACAGTTAAAAGTAGCTAAGATGTCAGGGTGGGGCAAAGTCCAGAGTCAGTGGAGGGGCCTGCACCATTCACAGGGGACCAGCCAAGAGCCATTCAGCTAAAGCACCTGAGAAAAATGGGGCTCTGCCACCCAATAGGGTAACTGTTCTCTTCATAAGTGCTTGGAACTGTTTCCAGGAAATATGACAATTACCCCACCTGAGCCCTCACCCCAAAAAGGAGAAGCAGGGTGTGTGGATTGTGCAGCAGAAATTAAGCAGCTGCCTTCATGGGAGCTCCTACCTCTCCAAAAAGTGTTCTTTAGGCACAGGCGTTTCTGGGCTGGCTCCTCACTCATGTGTCTCTCTGGCACTCCCTGCTTTCTCCTCCTTTCCCATATAGAAAACAGAGAAAGAATTGATTTGAAGAAGAATTAAAACACCACGTTCTTTACTAGACACTCAAAGTTTCATCTTAAAACAAAAACATCCTTAAAAGTGACCATCACAACTGGGCACGGTGGCTCACTCCTGCAATCCCAGCACTTTTGGAGGCTGAGGTGGGCAAATCGCCTGAGGTTGGGAGTTCAAGACCAGCCTGACCAACATGTAGAAACTCTGTCTCTACTAAAATTACAAAACTAGTCAGGTATAGGGGTGCATGCTTGTAATCCCAGCTACTGGGGAGCCTGATGCAGAGAATTGCTTGAACTCGGGAATTGGAGGTTGCAGTGAGCTGAGACTGTACCACTGCACTCCAGTCTGAGACAAAGAGTGAGGGGAAAAAAAAGAAAAAAGAAAAAAAATCCATTACAATGACCTACCTGTGCTGCTTGTAGGCAGACTTCCTCTTGGCTGTCTCCCTCTCCAAGGCTCGAGCACAGAGCTAAGGGGAGAAAAATACATCCACGTCCTGACCTGGCAGACTATGCCCAAAACCAAGGAAAACAAACAAACAAAACTTACCCAGTTGTCAAACTTACCCTTTCTTGCAGAGGGACAATCTGAAAAAGCCACCACGCCCAGTCTGAAAGAACATCTTTCAAATTCTTTGTAGAATTTGTTTTTTCTTATCTTAACTCCCAGAAGTTTGTATTACCTGGGAGTTAAAAATCAGAACTGACACATTAAAAAACAAACCCTCCCCAGGCATGGTGGCTCATGCTTGTAATCCCAGCACTTTGAGAGGCCAAGGTGAGTGGATCACTTGAGATTGGAAGTTTCAGACCAGCCTGGCAAACACAGTGAGACTGCATCTCTACTAAAAATACAAAAATTAGCTGGGTGTAGTGGCAACCACCTAGAGTTCCAGCTGCTCAGTGGGCTGAGGCAGGAGAATCACTTAAAGCCAGGAGGTAGAGTTGCAGTGAGCCAAAATCACACCATTATACTCCAGTCTGGGTGACAGAGCCAGATTCTGTCAAAAAAAAAAAAAAGAAAAAGAAAACTTCCCCCAATTTATATTGACAACTCTCTGTTCAGGACTAAGTGGGGTAGAGACTGTTAAATGCGGCAGGGCATGGTGGCTCACACGAGTAATCCCAGCACTTTTGGAAGCTGAGGCAGGTGGAGCACCTGAGTTCACAGTTCAAGACCTGCCTGGCAAAAATGGTGAAATCCCATCTCTACCAAAAATACAAAAATTAGCCAGGAATGGTGGTGCACGCCTGTAATTCCAGCAACATGGGAGGCTGGGGCAGGAAACTCATTGGAACCTGGAAAACAGAGGTTGCAGTGAGCTGAGATTACGCCACTGCACTCCAGCCTTGGCCAGAGAGTAAGACTGTTTCAAGAAAAAAAGGAGAGACTGTTAAATGTGCCTAGATATCTTCATAACTCATCTATTTTCTGTTTTCTATGTATATTGAAAGGCAGTCCCAAAGGGTGAGTAATTATCTAGATTGTAAAAATAAAACATACTTCCTCTTCCCTTGAATATAAAAGAGCATGGTGGGATTAGTACTTTTTTCTTGGATCATTGTTCAGAAGGAGGATTAGCCCCCAGACAACCACGTTTTGACGGTCATGAAAGACAAGAGAAAATGTAGAGCTCAATTTACCCAGTGGATAAAAAGGCTCAATGATGGCACAACTTGGCAGCCAAATTCCTATTAAGTACAGACTTTGGACATACTGATCCCTCTCCACCTGCAACCGGGAACATGCACTTTGATGATGTCATTCAAAATTACCCTGCCCAGACACACTTTTCATTGATTCTCTGAAGGGCAGTTCCACCAGATTCTCTGGGGCTTTCTCTGCATCATGAGATGCAGGGCAGCTCTGCCCTTCACCTTCCTGCAGTTTGTCGCCTCGTCCCTGTGATCTCAGAGGAACTTTGTCTCAGGCCAACCGTTTGTTCCTTGGACTCCTTCATTTCCATTAAAATTCATTTGCTGCCCCTCTAAATTGCCCCCATCTCCATCTATCTCCCTCGCCCCTGAAAACAGGGTGCTCTTTAACCATCTGACCCTTCTTACAGTCTCATTTTTTGCCTGGCTCCCATCTTTATGCCTGTTCTATGCTTTTCTTCTCTTATTAAGCTGTATGTTGTTAGTTCATTTCTGCCATGAACCATTAGAGAGGACAGTGAAAGCTTTCCTTCCAGCCATACAATAGAATTATAAAGCAGAAAAGTTTAGACAGAATCTCCTATTTAAATGTCAAAACTTCATACTCCATTTCTGATAAAGAGCAGACAAAAAAATTTATTTTTGACCCAAAGCTCTGTTGACATTCTATGAAACAAACATCAACCTATTCCATTTTTATAATGTAAATGGCAGATATTTTTATAATTCTATGCTAATCATTTCCCTGATGGTTTTGATAAAACTGAATATTCATAATAAAGTCCAGAACCATGAACTGGTTTAAATAGTATCTTCTTTGTGATTACAAGTATACCTGTACAGGAAGTTAGTATACTCACACGGAAGATAATTTTTCGGAGGAAAAGGCCAACTGTGGAAACTCCCAGAAACACAATAGGGATAGGCATCCACAGAACAACAAGAAGGTCATGCCCAGGATACAAATAATCAAGTAGAAACCTGACCGCCTGGAATAATAACAGTTGAAATAATGAAAAGGTCAATGACATTTATAATATTTCAGTAAATAATAATAATCTTTAGAAACCATCAACCTCCTCCAGGAGGAAACCACACCCCTCAGACATCACCAGGGGATTCCACTGCTTCAAACAGATTGGAAGTTACCAGTCTCATGTTTTTTGTATGGCTGGTAGTGTTTTTAGGCATTCCAGATGTAGAGTATGTTTTTTTCTTGATGTAAAGCAGGGATACCCAATTTTATGGCTTCCTTGGGCAATATTAAAAGAAGAAAAGTTGTCTTAGGCCACACATAAAATACATTAACACTAATAATAGCTGATGATCTAAAAAAAAAAAATCACAAGGCCAGGCACAGAGGCCTATCCCTGTAATCCTAGCTCTGTGAGAATGCTGAAACCGGTGGATCATCTGAGTTCAGGAGTTCCAGACCAGCCTGGCCAACATGGTGAAACACTGTCTCGACCAAAAATACAAACATTAGCCAGGTGTGGTGGCGAGGGCCTGGAATCCCACCTACTCAGGAGGCTGAGGCAGCAGAATCACTTGAACTAGGGAAGCAGAGGTTTCAGTGAGCTGAGATTCCACCATTGCACTCTAGCCCAGGAGACAAGAGGGAAACTTTTGTCTCAAAAAAAGAAAAATTACCAACCCCCCGAAAAAAAATTTTTTGTTGTTGTTGAGACTGTGTCCTACTCAGTTGCCTGGGCTGGAGTGCAATGGTGCAATCTCGGCTCGCTGCAACCTCTGACACCTGGGTTCAAGCCATTCTCCTGCCTCAGCCTTTAGAGTAGCTGAGATTACAGGCGCCTCCCACTATGCCCAGCTAATTTCTATATTTTTAGTAGAGACAGGGTTTCACCATGTTGCTTAGGCTGGTCTGGAACTCCTGACTTCAAATGATCCACCAGCCTCAGCCTCCCAATTATAGGAGTGAGCCACTACACCAGGCCTGTCATTTCTTTATATTTTGATAACATAAGGACTTGAAGACCCTTTCTTCTTTGGGTCAATCGATGACCTGAACCATATACACTTTACAAAACAAAGGACAATACTGTCATTTACATCCTGGTCCTGTCATTCCTAGTGACTCCTGCATTGTGAACCTCCCAGCAGGTGCAACCCTTTCCTCTCCATCTGATGGGCTTCTCAGCTCCCATCACACTGACTGGACACAGACTCCCTAGAGACAGCCCCCAAGAGCAGAAGACAGGAATGACACAGCATTTCCTAAAAAGTCATCAAACCAGATGACACAAAACTCAAATGACATTTCACTTTGTTTTGGTTCATTTTGTTTGAGACAAGAGTGCAGTGGGCGATCTCGGCTCACTGCAACCTCCAATTCCTGGGCCCAAGTGATCTTCCCACCTCAGCCTCTAAAGTAGCTAAGACTACAGCCATGAGACACCAGGCCTGACTCATCTTTTTTTGGAATCTTTTGTAGAGATGGGGTTTGGCTATGATGCCCAGGCTAGTCTTGAACTCCTGGACTCAGGTGATCTGCCCACCTTAACCCCCAAAAGCGCTGGAATTACAGGCCTGCACTGTGTAATGTGCCACATGACACAGTCCAATAACAAGGAAGAAACCCCAAGGGTCCAGCATCTACTCACAAGAGTGGATTGATGGCTGGGAAACTCCAGCAGGAGGAGCCAAAAGAGCAGCCACCGCACCCGCATCTCCTGGTCTTCTCAGGGTGCCATGAGGTGACCAGGACAGAGATGACGGTGGCTTATGGCTGGGGGAAGGAAGGGGATGGGGATGGGGTGAGATCTGAGTTGGGGAGGGGGATGGGAGGGAAGGGGAGGGAGGGGAAGGGGGCTGTTGGGCACCCGGTGGAGGGGGAGGAGAAAGCGGTCTGGGAAAGGATCCAGTGTAAACTACATCTTCAAGTGAGAGTAGGAGGTTCAGCTACAAGTCAGGGAGAAAGTCTATCAGGGAAGCAACAGGATATGCGGGGCAAGAAAGCAGGATGCTCAGGAGCAATGAGATGGAGACCAGGGCTCTGGTTTCCACCAAACCTTCTCCTGTCTGGGCGCTGCCTAAGCAACCCCAGGGCTTTATACTCCCTCTCCACCAATCCCCAGCCCCAGAATGCGGTACCTCACAGTAGACATTCCACAAAGCACCTGTGTCCTCCAATGCCCCTCCCCCATCTCAGGCCCCCTACTTGACTCCCAAGGACAGGTCCTCTCTGGAACCTTCACAGACCTGACTTCTGGCCTTTCCCACCAGCTTCCTGTCCCTGCTTTGGAGCGGCTCCTTCCTCCTGAGCTCCCAGGGTTTCTCACAGTCAGTCTTGGCTGCAAAACATAAGAAACAAATGAAGGCAGGAAGAACCTCACACACAAGCGGAGTGGGAGGCTCCACAGCCCCCTCTCCACCATTCATATTCTAAGCAACAAAACAGCAGAAGGATACAGAAGGTCCCAACAGTAAAGCATCTCCATCACATCCATGGAGCCATCGTCCATCATTCTGTATCTCGGATGATGGCAGATGAGGGAAGGTGGCGCAACATTCATTTTAAGCATGCATGGTACATTTACAAAAATTAAACTCAATTATCTTGTTCATCAAGCAAATCTCAGCATATTTCAGAGAAATCCAATCACGCAGCATTTCTGATCATAGAATTGTGCTAGAAGTCAATGATTAAAAGCTGTCCAAAACTTATTATATGCTTGGAAATTCAAAGCATATAAACATAAGAAACATAAACATAAACACTCTTTCTCATAAACATAAGAAAGAATCCAAAATGAAACAAGACTGCTTTTATACTCAGTGATAAGATCATAACATGACAATCAAACGTCTCCCTCTGGCCCAGGAATTCCACTTTGTGGCACAAGGTTGTGTGGTCTCAAATCACCCCTAACCCACCTAGCCATGTTAACATCTGAAACAGGGTGATGTTGTCACTTATCTATATTATCTTACTGCCTATGAAGGTGGACCTTTAATTCTGAACCATAATGAGGGGGAGAAAACCAAGTTGACTCTCATGGTTGACTTGCCAGGGATGGCCACAGAATCTATGCATTTCAAGAGACAAAGTTCATCAGCCTCTCTCCTGGGGGAGTTGGCCACAATACCCAGAGGATTTGGCAGATCATAAACGATGGGTGGGGAGTGCCAGGCAGGTGGGCAGGACCCAGGGGTCTGGTGACCAGGTCAGACCCCCACTGTCCATCATCTTTCCTGGCCCCATCCTCAGCTAAACTTCCCAAAGGCCTGCTTCTGCCTGATCACAGAGTGTGCTCACACTCATTCAGGCCTCTCGCAAATGGTAAAAATCACTGCTTTCAGTGTCTTTACCATTTACTATGATGTAAAGTTATTATAAACTGCAAATATTCTATTCATGCTATAAATGCCTTTATCATAAATGGAAAATCAACCCTGAGACACAAGCAAAATGAAACAGGGATAACGCAACTATGGCATTCAATTCTATTAGTATGCTGTCACCTGCATAAAGGGCCCCAGATTTGGGCTGTCTTGGTTATGAAAGGAGAGACCAAGTAAGTGGGTGTTGAAGTCAGATGAACCAAAAGTGAATGGCAGAGAGTAGTACCACCATGTCCATGAAGGGTTCCTGGGGTCACCTTGATTATAGCCCAAGCAGAGACAGGGCAAGGAAGGAGATGTGAGCAGAGCTTGGGGCCTCAAACAGGGGAGGTGATTCATGTAGCTCAGGAAAGGCTCCTCAAAGCCAGGGTCAAACTCCCTTGCAGGCAGGTCCCTCGTGGAGACAGAGCCAGGCACCTCCGATTCAAGACCAGCTGTGTGACCCTGGGCTGGTTTCCTCCCAAACAATGGGAGTGTCAATGGCTGTGTCAAAGGCTGTCTGAGCACCCATGTACCAAGTGTCATCATCTCCCAAGGAAATCTTTCCTTCCAGAGCTGGCACCTTGGAAGGCCCTTGGCCACTAAAGGCAGTGATGATCATAAGAGCAGCAAATCATCATTTATGGCTGATGACAGAGGGCCATGGGTTAGGGCTCCCAGGTCCTTGATAAGAATGAGGGTCTGGGGACTCCTGGGAACAGCTGAGTGAGTCCTGTAGGTCTCCTGGGTCGTCAGGGGCCAGGTCTGTCTTCAGTGGCATTGGGCCTAGGCTGGGATGCTGGGGCAGCCACTGGAGCATCGGCAGGACAAACAGCCACAGAGACAGTGGATCCATCAAAGGTGGCAGGTGCAGGATCATCTGTCCACAAACTAGAGTCACCAGGCCTGGCTGACCACTGCCCCCACAGATGGTGCCCTGTCCCTTGCCTCACACTTTGGCAGGGCAGTGGCTAGCACCTGGGGCCTCACAGAGCAACCCTCTAAGACCTCTGTGTCCTGATCATTGAATGGGCACTTGAGTCACCCAGGGCCACTGGAACAAGGAAGAAGAATCAGGCCCCACAATGTTTTGGGACAGTGCTTAGCACAGGAAAGTGCACAGAATGCATGCACGACACAGAGGAACTGTAGGTGTGGGAGCCAGTATTTCATGACCTCTGGTCCTAATCTGAGCACTCTCACCTGTGCAATCTGAAAGAAACAGGGGACTTGCAGGAAAGATAGAGCCTGATTTAACTTAAAGGAACTAAAATGCTGAATGTTCACACTCCTGATATCCTTCCAAATCAACTCTTGGAATGCTCCCATCTTCACCACTATCTTTTGGGGTAACTGAGGCAGTCAGAGATTTACTGATGCAATGCCACTCAGCTGATTCTGAATTCACTGCTGATCACAACTGAACAAACTCCTTTTTCTGAGGTTTACCCTGTTTGATCATGCTGCTGCTGATTTTGTGCAGCTCTGGGACAAACTCCACCTGGTTGAGGATAAAGCAAATCTGAGGTGACTCAGTCCTGCTGTGATTTCCCATCAATTCCCCACTCTCCTCCTCTGCCCCTCCACAGTCTCCCACACAGACTGACACCATATAGTGGCCCTAATGGAGTCCACTGAGTATTTCAGGTTCTACTCTGGGCCCCTTGAAGGTGGATGTAGTTAAGGGATTTGCTTTGACTCAGAAGATGTGAGTGGAAGTGAAGTGTGTCACCTTGGGGCAAAAGAGTTGGAAGCCATTCAGACTTGCCACCCTTTCCTTCATTTCTTAGAGCCACTGATAGATCCCATATAGAGCCTGCTCCTTTATTTTGGTGGCAGATGAGGAGATGTGGAGCACAGGGCCCAGGAGAGCCATGGAGGATGTACAGCCTGAGTGGAAAAAGAGCCTTCAGTGTTGTTTTTCAGGGCTGCTTATTACCTACAGTGATACCTGGTCCATCCTAGCAGGCACGTACCATCTATTCCATGCTCTGTGAAGCAGACTAGCCTACCATTAGAACATAAACTGGATGTGAGACACATACAGGTTTCAGTTCCAGCTCTGCCTCTTATTAACTGCAACCTCAGGCAGGCTGTGAGCCTCAGTTTCAATTCTGTAAAATGGGTTGGTTATACTATTAGAGGTTATGGAGAGAATAAAATGAAATAAAAATGCATGTAGAGCATTGAGCCCAGGGTCTGGCATACACAGTGAGTACTTTATATTAGCCATGTAACTTCATAATGCATATTGATTTCCAATATTCAGAAAATGCAGCAAAGTATTACCAAAATAATGTCAACTTATTTGCATATGTATTCTCCCAATCATTATTTTTAAACAGATAAGATAAAACTATGAATACTCTTTCATATCCAGTGTTTTTCTCTTCATAGCACATTGTTAAAATTTTTTATCTCGGGCCCATCACAATGGTTCATGCCTGTACTCCCAGAACTTTGGGAGGCCAAAGTGGTTGGTTCATGAAATCAGGAGTTCAAGACCAGCCTGGCCAATATGGTGAAACCCTCATCTCTACTAAAAATACAAAAATTAGCCAGATGTGGTGGCATACACCTGTAGTCCCAGCTACTTGGGAGGCTGAGACAGAAGAATTGCTTGAACCTGGGAGGTGGGGGCTGCAATGAGCCAAGACTGTGCCACTGCACTCCAGCCTGGGCAACAGAGTGAGACACTCTTTCAAAAAGAAAAAAAAAAATGCAACAAAAAATATATGTATACACATATATAATCTCAAAAACAAAAGATCATTTATGAAATCATTTTAAATGACAAGATAATGTTTAATTTAGTGAATAATTATTACGATTGGACTTTTTGTAGATTGCACAAAGCATTCAAATAAATGAAGGAGAATTTAAAAAGTATTACTTGTAAAATAAATTTTACTATTTTATTCAAAAATGTGGAACTATATATGTAATATAAAATCTATTCCTAATTATGAATCATGTTAAAAATAATTTAGAAGCTGCCGATTTTGATTTCTGTTTCAGATTTTGCAAAATAACTTTTTTTTTTTAAAGACAAACTCTCCCTCTGTCACCCAGCCTGGAGTGCTGTGGTGCAATCTCGGCTCACTTCAACCTCCGACTCCCATGTCCAAAGTGATTCTCCTGCCTCAGCCTCCTGAGTGCCTGGCTAATTTTGTGTTTTTAGAGGAGACAAGGTTTCTCCATGTTGCTCAGGCTGGTCTTGAACTCCTGACCTCAGGTGATCTCAGCCTCCCAAAGTGCTGGGATTACAGACATGAGTCACAATCCCCTGCCTAAATTTTGCAGGATAATAAATAGCCTTTTGAAGTACCGCTGGGCACTTGTCTGGTTGTTTTTCTTTAGGTTAACATGCCAGCAATGATTCTTTTTGACTTTCTGACCAAGATAGCAGTTTTTATCCAAATAATTCAACTACTCTACTCCATCCCTAAGCCACCTGCATGGAAGGAAAAAGGGGGAAAAAGTCAGTACTGTGACTGCCTACACTTCCCCCAGCATGGCCCTGTTAGACGTGGGGCAGCCGAGACCAGGAACTGTTCAAGGGCGCCAGGTCCTGTCTGTCTGCGCTCACTCACCTTCCTCAGGTACTTGCATGAGGGATGGCACTGACTTTACGGGCTGCTGCAGCTCCTTGGTGAGCTGGCCCTGGTCAAGGGACAGAAACTGTGGGGTCAGGACAATAAAGGGCTTCACCACCTGCAGAATGGGAACAGAAGCTCATGGTGAGGGCCAATCTATTAGATAATTAAATTTTTAAAAAGTTTGTAGAATGAGTGGAAAAACAAGGTGATGCTTGAGTTTATAGTGGTCAAGAGCATGGGGGCCTCAGAAAAGGTCAGAACCAAGTTCAAATTCCTGTACTTTGAATTTCTACTTCATGCCATGCAAAATTACTCTACCCCTCTTTACCTTAGTTTCCTTTTGTGTGAAAAGGAAACAATTTCATTCCTCATTCAGTTTCTGTCAAGGATTCTAAAACACCCAACTCATTTAAATGTATCATTTCTGTCATAACTAGTGGGATCAAATATGTCATTTCTGTCATAACTAGTGGAATTAATTTCACTATTATTGGACACACACTTCTGTGCCTGAAACCTACAAAAAACAAAATGTCATGTCTAAAAAGTGTCAGTGTTTTGTCATTGCTATATTAATCATAACTGTATTTAATCCACAAGGCCTTATGCATGGCAGGTGCTCAATAAACACTTGCTCAATCAATGCATGTGTGCTCTGCAGCCACACTGTTTAGGTTCTATTCGGCTTCCACCACTTATTAGCTGAGTGATGTGAGCAAGATAATTCATGTCTTTATGTCTCTGTGTCCTTCTCTATAAAAGATATGTAATAAGAATCCCCAGCTCCTTAGGTTATCGCCAGGGGTGAGTGATTTGGCAAATAGTAGGGGCTTATTAAATATTGGCTGTGATGAACTCCTTCCAAATCGTCCTTTACAGAACCACAGATGAGGTCATAGTGCCACCTGGTGACCCTAGAGTGTAAGTACACATGATCACCACCATGCTCTCTCTCCACTATAGGTCCAACCAAGACTGGTTTCTGCTGCATCTGCCTTCTCAGTGCTCACGTAAAGATCTTTGTATTTTCCTCTGCATTCCCACAGATGGGGTTCAGGTTGCCCAACAAAGAGGGTGATCCACACAGGGCAGTGACTGTGCCAGCCCTGTGATATCACTGGAGTACCACTGTTCCTTCGTTCTCATGTTCTGGGTAGATGCCAGGGCTGGGGTGATGCATGCCCTCAAGTTTCTTGCTTTGGAGTGTCACATTTTCTTTTGGCAAGGAAGGCAAAGGTCACAGGAAGCCAGAGACCCGTGATCTCTCTGTATCGTGGGTTCAAACTATAAAGACCTGAACACTCTATGCTAGAAGCCCAAGGCTCAGGTGCTCCCCAGGGCTTCTAACCTCATGGCCTCTGCTGAGGGAGGATGAATACTATGTCCTCCCAGAACTTTGGGAGCTTGTAGCAAGCAGCCTCCCTAGCACAAAATCTTTTGGAAACCTCGAACTGTGTCTAAAACATTCCTGTACCTTTTGCATCCTATTTCCAATATGTCAGCATGTTTTAGTAAAAAAAAAAAAAAAAACCTCAATTTCCCAAATATGGAAGAGAAATGGATATTGTAGGACAATGTGACTTTTAAAAACGTGTTATTTAGGCCGAGCATGGTGGTTCATGCCTAATCTCAGCACTTTGGGAGGCTAAGGTGGGTGGATCACCCAAGGTCAGGAGTTAGAGACCAGTCTGACCAACAAGGAGAAACCCTGTCTCTACTAAAAATACAAAATTGGCAAGGCATGGTGGCATATCACTGCAATTCCAGCTACTAAAGAGGCTGAGGCAGGAGAATCACTTAAACCTGGGGAGGCAGAGGTTGCAGTGAGCTGAGATCATGCCATTGCACTCCAGCCTGGGCAACAAGAGCAAGACGGCCTGCCTGCCACTAAGTAAATAAATAAGTAATTAAGTAAATAAATAAAAAATGGCTGGGTGCGGTGGCTAAAGCCTGTAATCCCAGCACCTTGGGAGGCCAAGGTGGGTGGATTACGAGGTCAAGAGATCAAGACCATCCTGGCCAACATGGTGAAACCCCGTCTCTAGTAAAAATACAAAAATATTAGCCAGGCAAGGTGGCACTTGCCTGTGGTTCCAGATACTCCAGAGGCTGAGAAAGAAGAATCGCTAGAACCCAGGAGGTGGAGGTTGCAGTAAGCCAAGATTGGGCCAGTGCACTCCAGCCTGATGACAGAGCAAGACTCCGTCTAAAATAAAGAAACAAATCCGCCAGACATGGTGGCTCACGCCTGTACTCCAAGTACTTTGGAGGCCAAGGCAGGCAGATCACTTGAGGGTGGGAGTTCAAGACCTGCCTGACCAACATGGTGAAATCCTGTCTTAAAAGAAAAAATTAAATTAAATTAAAAAGTAAATAAGTAAATAAATAATAAAGTAAATAAATGCAAGACTGCCTCTAAATAGATATACAGATAGTTAAGAAAATGAATAAATGCAAGCCTGCACACAAATGCGTAAGTATAAAAATAATGTGAGCCTGGGTCTAAATAAGATAAATGAGTAAATGTGAGCCTGCCTCTAAATAATTAGATAGCTAGATAGATAAATATATAAATCCAAGCCAGCCTGCCTCTAAATATATAAATAAATAAATAAATAAATAAATAAATTCGACCTGCTTCTCCGTAAGTACCTCAGCAAATAAATAAATAAATGCAAGTCTGCCTCTAAATAAATCGATAGATAAATAAATCAATAAATAAGCAGCCCCACTTGGTGGCTCATGTTTTTAATCCCCTGCCCACTGGGAGCCTGAGCCAGCTATATCACCTGAGGTCAGGACATCGAGACCAGCCTGGCCAAGATGCTGAAAGAATCCCTGTCTCCATTTAAAAAAATAATATGGTGAAAATAAATAAATAAATAAGTAAATGAATATGAATAAATACATGCAAGCCGGCCTTCCTACCTCTAAGTAAATAAATCAGTAATTATGTAAATAAATAAATAAAGGCCGGGCAAGATGGCTCAGTCCTGTAATCCCAGCACTTTGGGAGGCCAAGACGGTTGGAACACGAGGTCAAGAGATTGAGACCATCCTGGCCGACATGGTGAAACCCTGTCTCTACTAAAAATACAAAAATATTAGCTAGGCTTGGTGGCACTTGCCTGTGGTCCCAGATACTCCAAAGGTGGAGGAGGAAGAAACACTTGAACTCAGGAGGCAGAGGTTGCAGTAAGCCAAGATTGGGCCAAGGCACTCCAGCCTGTGACAGAGCAAGACTCCCTCTAAGATAAATAAACAAATAAACAAAAAATATATATATATAAATGCAAGACTGCCCCTAAATCATTATAGAGACAGTTAAGAAAATGAATAAAAGCAAGCCCACACACAAACACATATGTATAAAAATAATGTGAGCCTGGGTCTAAATAAAATAAATGAGTAAATGTGAGCCTGCCTCTAAATAATTAGATAGCTAGATAGATAAATACATAAATGTAAGCCTGCCTCCAAATATATAAATCAATTTGACCTGCTTCTCCATAAGTACCTCAGCAAATAAATAAATAAATAAATGCAAGTCTGCCTTTAAATAAATGAATGAATAGATACATAAATAAATCAATAAATAAGCAGCCCCACTTGGTGGCTCATGGTTTTAATCCCCCACCCATTGGGAGCCTGAGCCGGCTATATCACCTGAGGTCAGGACATCGAGACCAGCCTGGCAAAGATGCTGAAAGAAGCCCTGTCTCTATTTTAAAAAGATAATGAGGTGAAAATAATTAAATAAATGAAAACATAAATACACAAATGCAAGCCGACCTTCCTGCCTCTAAGTAAATAAATCAGTAATTGTGTAAATAAATAAAGGCCGGGTGAGATGGCTCAGTCCTGTAATCCCAGCACTTTGGGAGGCCAAGAAGGGTGGATCAGGAGGTCAAGAAATCAAGACCATCCTGGCCGACATGGTGAAACCCCGTCTCTACTTAAAATACAAAAATATTAGCCAGGCAATGTGGCACTCGCCTGTTTTCCCAGATACTCTGGAGGCCAAGGAGGAAGAATCGCTTGAACTCAGGAGGCAGAGGTTGCAGTAAGCCAAGATTGGGCCAGTGCACTCCAGCCTGGTGCCAGAGCAAGACTCCATCTAAAATAAACAAATTGGCCAGGCATAGTGGCTCACGCCTGTAATGCAAGCACTTTGGAGGCCAAGGCAGGCAAATCACTTGAGGGCGGGAGTTCAAGACCCACCTGACCAACATGGTGAAACCCCATCTTTAAAAGAAATTTAAAAAAAGTAAAAAAGTAAATAAGTAAATAAATGCAAGACTGCCTCTAAATCATTATACAGATAGTTAAGAAAATGAATAAATGCAAGCCTGCACACAAATGCCTATAAGTATAAAAATAATGTTGTGAGCCTGGGTCTAAATAAGATAAATGAGTAAATGTGAGCCTGCATCTAAATAATTAGATAGCTAGATAGATAAATACATAAATCCAAGCCTACCTCCAAAAAAATAAATAAATAAATAAGACCTGCTTCTCCATAAGTACATCAGCAAATAAATAAATGCAAGTCTGCCTCTAAATAAATCAACTGATAGATAAACAAATCAATAAATAAGCGGCCCCACTTGGTGGCTTATGTTTTTAATCCCCCGCCCACTGGGAGCCTGAGCCAGCTATATCACCTGGGGTCAGGACATCAAGACCAGCCTGGCCAAGATGGTGAAAGAATCCCTGCCTCTATTTAAAAAAAGAATAAGATGAAAATTAATAAATAAATAAATGAAAATATCAATAAATAAATACAAGCCGGCCTTCCTGCCTCTAAGTAAGTAAATCAGTAATTATGTAAATAAATAAATAAAGGCCAGGGAAGATGTCTCAGTCCTGTAATCCCAGCACTTTGGGAGGCCAATATGGTTGGAACACGAGGTCAAGAGATCGAGACCACCCTGGCCAACATGGAGAAACCCTGTCTCTACTAAAGTAAATACAAAAATATTAGCCAGGCGTGGTGGCATGTGCCTGGGGTCCCAGCTACAAGGGAGGCTGAGGCAGAAGAATCACTTGAACCAAAGAGGGGGAGGTTGCAAGGAGCCAGGACTGCACCACTGCACTCCAGCCTGGTGAGAGAGCAAGAATCCATCTAAAATCAACCAAGCAATCAATCAAGAAATGCAACCAGCCTCTAAATCACTATACAGATAGTTAAGAAAATGAGGGCCAGGCGCGGTGGCTCAAGCCTGTAATCCCAGCACTTTGGGAGGCTGAGGCAGGTGGATCACGAGGTCAAGAGAACGAGACCATCCTGGTCAACATGGCGAAACCCCGTCTCTACTAAAAATACAAAAAATTAGCTGGGCATGGTGGCACGTGTAATCCCAGCTACGCAGGAGGCTGAGGCAGGAGAAATGCCTGAACCCAGGAGGCAGAGGTTGCAGTGAGCCAAAATCGCACCATTGCACTCCAGCCTGGGTAACAAGAGCGAAACTCAGTTTCAAAAAAAAAAGAAAATGAGTAAATGCAAGCCTGCACACACATGCATAAGTATATAAATAAATGTTGCCAGCCTGGATCTAAATAAATAAATGGGTAAATGTCAGGCTGCCTCTAAATAATTAGATAGCTAGATAGATGAATACATAAATCCAAGCCTGTCTCAAATATACAAATAAATAAAGTAAATAAATATAAATCCAAACATTAGCTAGGAATGGTGGCATGCATCTGTAATCCCAGCTACTCAGGAGGCTGAGAGAGGAGAATCACTTGAACCTGGGAGGCAGTGGTTGCAGTGAGCTGAGATTATGCCACCGGACTCCAGCATCAGCAAAAGAGCAAGACTCCATATCAAAAAAAATACCAAACTTATCTGAAAACTCTCTCTTTAATAAATTGCTTTTCTGAAAAAAAAAAGTCACAAAATCAACTGGTCCTATCATACCTATCCTCTGCCTTCATTTTCCTGGTACAAAGAAAACATTGTTAAAGCCCAGCAATAAATTAGAAAAAAGCTGAATAGTAAAAAATAAATAAAAAGTGAAAAAGAATAAAAGGCACTAAAATAGAAGGCAAAATGAAGAAAAGAAATGAAGAGAATATAAAATGATCCAGAAGGGTATTATATATATGACCAAAACTCAAGAGGTAGAAGAAAATATATTTGTCATGATGGCTATCGGTGGTCTCCAGGTGATATTA